ACGTCGTGCTGGACGCGGGCGACGCCGCCGCGCCCGCCCTCCTGCCCCACTTCCTGGAGCACTACAGCCGGCTGGGCGTGCCGGCGCAGCGCATGCTGGTCACGCTGCGCCGGGATGCGGGGGAGGCCGCGCCGCGGCCGCCGACCTGGCGCGCCAGCTGGACGCCTGGGGCGTGGACAGCCGCCTGTGGCTGGGGCCCCTGGACGCCGAGGCGCGCCTCCAGCTCAGGCTGCAGGTGTGCAGAGTGGTGGGTGTGCGGGTGTGTGCGGTTGAGGGGAGCTGTGCGTGTGTGATGGGCGATGGGGGGGTGGCTCAGGCACCCTGGGCGCCGAGATTTTGGGAGCCAGCATTGGCGACAAGGGGTGCAGCAGCCCGGGGGGGAGGTGCGGGTCCTGGCAGGGCAGGCACCGCCATGGGAGGCGGTGCGCTCCTCTGCGCCCGGCAGAACGCTGGCCGCCAGGGGGCGGGGGGCCTCCGCCCGTCGAGCGGCCCAAAGGAGTGTCCGCTCCCCTGCCCTTCCCAGGTCCTGCGCCGGGTGCCCATCCAGGACTGGGTCCTGCTCCCGGGCCCCTCCGACTTCTTTGACTTTGGCAACCTGACCGCTGCGCAGTACCTCGCCCAGCGCGACGTGGAGGTGCGTGGCGCTGGGAGGAGCGTGGGAAGAGGTTTGGGGGGGGCGCCAGCGTGCGCGGCGCACGGCGATGAGGGCGCCGTACGTCGCCAGCGGCTCCCCTGGGGTGCCTTCTGCGTAGGTCACTGCCCTCTTTCCCACCACCTCTCCCCCCCACCACACACACAACAACACATGCATCCACATGCAGGGCATCAACTGGGTGGAGGGCAGGATCGCAGACCGGGTGGCGCAGGACGGCGTGCTGGCCGAGGTGAATGCACAGCGCCCCATGTTCGCCCAGTTCCCCTTCGAGTGCGACGTGGTGGGGGGCATCACCGGCCGGCCTCAGCGCGTCGTCGTCGCACACAAGGTACCGGCGGGATCGGGATGGGCGGGGCCAGATGAGGTGGCTGGGATGGGATGGCATGGGCGGCCGGGGCGAGGCCGGGCGGCGGGGGTCTGCGCAGGCCTCATGGAGCCATGTGGAAGCGGTGCCGTGCGCTTCCCCCCAGCGTCTGCGCTCGCCAGGCCGCTCACCAACCCCACCCAACCCGCTCGCAGGGGTACCTGAGGACGGACGCGGCGGACCTCACGGTGCTCCCGGCAACGGAAGCCAAGGCCTACTTTGGCCCCAGCGCCGACCAGGCCGCCCGCTGCACGCGCTCCGACCTGTACCCGCTCACGCCCTACGACGCCTACTGGAAGTACTACCGCACCCCCCTCATGACAGGCAACTCCTACCTCTGGGACCGCCACAAGGCCAGCGCCCAGGTGTGGGCATGTGTGTGTCTTTGGGTTGGGGGGGGGTTGGGGGAGGGGAATGCTCCAGGTTGGGGGTGTGGTCTGGGAGGATAAGGATTGGATTGTGTGCTGGGGGACAGGAAGCGCACATGCACGGCACCTGCGTCCGCCGCTGGACCCCGCCCACCACTTGGACGACGCAGCCTCCTGGAATGTATCCACGCCCTGCACCCTGGGCGGTGGTCTTTTCTCGAAAGCAATCTTTGACCTCTGGTCCATGATCTTTGGAGCCTGCCGGGGACCAAACCCTCCTATGTCACCAACCCAACCCCGCCGCACACCGCTGGGCAGGTCACCGTCCACCGCTTCAGGTGGCATGCCGGGCTGGCGGGCAACCTGGCGGCGGCCCTGGATCGCCACCGCCGGGAGCAGCAGGGGGGCGAGACCGCGCCCTGCGGGCGCGCCCCGCCCGCGGAGGTGGGCGCCCCGGACAGCGACTGGCGCGAGGCCGAGCGCCTGCGCCCTGCGGTCCTGGACGCCGGGCACGTGGATGTGGCCGACGCGCGGCTGGCGTGCCGGCTGGCGCGCAACCCGCTGCGCTTCGCGCTGCCCGACGCCGCGCGCGCCGCGCTGCGCGCCGCCCGCTCCGACGCCTGACGGCCCAGCGGGCAGGCGCGCCGCCAGTTTCCCGGCCCCTTCCCTGGCGCCCCCCAGGCGCCTCTGCGGGGCCCGTGATGCCATAGACAGACAGACAGACAGACAGATAGAGACGACATGATCCAGATACTGCTGTGCCCCCCCCTTGCATGCCCCATTTTTCCCTCTCCTTCCCTGCCCTCCTGACCGCCGCCCTGCACCCCAGTGCTGTAAGCATCCTATGACTGGTGTGTCGCAGCGCAAGGAGGAGACTGGCGCATCAGTAGGGTAGAGCAATATGGCAACCTTCCGCTGGTGAGGCCTCACAGAGGGCTACACACGCCCCCTCACGCCGCCTCTACTGCGGCCGGCTCGTACAGCGGTGCCACGGGCATGCCCGCCGGCCGCTGCAGCCAGTTGGTGGCGGGGTAGCGCGTGCCCGCCGCGCCCTCCAGCACATGCACCGAGAAGGCGTGGCGCGAGGCCGGCGACCGGTTCTCGTCGCTGCGGTGCACCAGGGCGCCATGGAGCAGGACCAGGGCGCCGGCGGGCATGGGCAGCGCCACGAAGTCGGCCTCAGCGTGCACAGCGGGGGGCGCGTCGAACGCCAGGCGGCCGTCGGGGGCGCGCAGGAAGCGCCGCGCCACCCCCGCCCTGCTTGACGGGACGAGGGTGGGAGGTTTTCGGGGGCATCCTCACGGTGATGAGCGGAAACTGTTCCGGGAAGCCTCGCTCTAGGTGCAGAGCAATGCGCGTTCTCGCGTGAGCAGATCTCAGGCAAGTTGGCGTTGCACGAGCGGAGCAACGCTATAGCAAGGCTCAGGTGGAACATTGCCCAAGGGCGGCCTGAAACACCCCTCTGGTCCTTCTCTGGCTCCATTTCCACAGACTATCAACCCAGGCGACCCTGGGGCCAAACCCCACCCACTCCTGCTGCTCACTTGTGTGACCCCGGGATGGCCCAGAGGCAGCCGTTCTGGAGTGTGGCGTCCTCCAGGGCCAGCCACAAGCCCACCACTGAGGGCGGGTCGGTGAAGAGGAAGGTGCTGTCCTGGTGGGGCACCACCTCCCCCCCGATCCCGGGCTGCTTGAAGATGTACATGGACTGCATGGGCAGCGGGCGGCGCAGGCCCAGGCTCTGCGCCAGGGCGCAGACTCGGGGCGAGTAGGACCAGGCCTGGAAGATCGGGTCCAGGTCGTGCAGGGCGTGCCCAATCTTGTTGATGGCCAGCTCCTTGGGCTTGACCTGGGCGCCCTGGGAATCAAAGGCCCCCGCCTCGAAGAAGAAGCTGATGGCACCGGCGCTGTCCAAAAAGTACTGGTCCACCTTGCTGGTCTGGCGGAGGGGTAGTGGAGGTTGGCGGTGTGGATGGCATCCCTCTGGCTGAGTCCCAACTGGTTCCCCCCAGTTCCTCCGGCACCTGGTCCTTGGAGTCGAACACAGAGACGGCCTTGGGGGGCTGGAAGCCAGCCACCAGCTCTAGAGCCCGGGAACGCATCGCAGCCACCTCCTCGCGGGATGTGAAGTCGGGAATGACCAGGTACCCATCCCGCTCAAAGGCCTCCAGTTGCTCGTTGCTCAGCGACATCCCCCCTTTCCCCACACGCCCTTGCAACCTGACACCAGGATACTGAGATTCTCTCGCAATCCTGTAGTGAATTGAATCATGGGCTTCTGCACACAACTCGACACTTCGTGGTGTTCAGACGTTCCCTGCCTCGCCCTTGATGCTACGACACCGTTCCGTCTGCGCGCCCTCAGGATCTGGATCGCTTGGTGCTCCACAGGCAGAGCAAAGCAGCGGGGAGCTCCTGATAATAAATTGCCAACCAGACTATCAACGAAATGTGGTGAATAATAAATCTATCTTGTGTCGCAGCTGTAAGCAGTGCCATGCCCAACGACGAGCCGATGGCGGAGGCGTCCTCGTCGCAGTCCGATTCGGAGGAGAGCGATGGAGGAGAGATCGACATATCCGAGCAGGATGCCTCTGCCATCATGACGGCAGAAGCTGCCCTGGAGTCAAATCCGTACGACTACGAGGGACACGCCAATGTGAGTACCTGCTTGGCTGTGCTGAAATGGGGGCTCAAGAAGTGAATGCAGAATGAGCATCGGACACGGTTTGTCGCATCATGCACTCCATGCAGCCCCTCTCTGCGTTGTTAACACAGCTCTCATCTTAACACTCACGTCTATGCCCCTGCTGCTCCAGTACATATCCCATGTGCGTCGCTGTGGGCTCCAAGCAAAGCTCAAGGATGCCCGCGAGGCCATGCACTCCCTCTTCCCGCTTGGTGAAGGCATCTGGCTGGAGTGGCTGAAGGATGAGGTGGCAGCTTTTGAATCTGGCTCGGCCACCCGTGAGGATGTCACACGACTGCATGAGCTTGCCGTGCAGGACTACCTGTCCGTCAACATATGGCTGTCGTATCTGGCATTCATATCCTCTGGCGTGCAGAGCGGGGACAGCGCCGCAATCAGTGAGGTTCGAGATGTCTTCGAGAGAGCCCTCACCGCCACGAGCTTGCACTTCAGCCAGGGCGCTAGAGTCTGGGCAGCATACCGACAGTGAGTTTTGGGAGGGCGGTCTGAGGGCTGGCATCGCGGCCTGAGGTAAATTCCAGGAACGATGAGACAAGCCATCGATGGGAAGTCATGCATGGTGACTGGCGCTCAGATCATGCGCAGATGAGCTGCAGTGCAATCCGTGGAGTAGGGCATAGGTGCATCGATAGCCAACTGCACACGACCGTCCAAGCCTCTCCCCTTCCCTCCATTCCAGATTTGAGGCTCGGCTGGTGGCCCCGCAGGAGGAGACCAGCACTGCCTCAGCCCAGCAGCCGACAGAAAAGGTGCTCGCCCTTTTCCGGCGCCAGCTGGCCGTCCCTCATGCTCACTCCGGCGCCACCCTCGCGGAGTGGGAGCATGCCGGCGGCGCCGAGGATCCGCGCCGCAAGGAGGTGCTTGCCGCCCATGAGGCGGCGATGCGTTCGGCTGGGGAGCGAGAGCCTTTCGAGGCGGCCATCGGCGAGGAGGGGGCCGCTGCAGATATCCAGCTCCTGGGCGGCTACATGTCGTACCTGGAGTTTGAGAAGAAGAAGGGCGACCTTGCGCGCTGCCAGGTCAGAGGTGGCTCTGGGGTCCCATGTCGTCAGGGACTGTCTCAGTGGATGACTTCAGTAAGACCATGTGTTGCCTGGAGGGCATGTGGGCCTCGGGCTTCAGAACAAGAGGCATGCAGGAGCCTGTTTGATGCTGTCCTTTTCCCTGTTTCTCATCCGCCAGACAGCTCGCCCCCTCTTCCTTACATCACTGCAATGCTGCCCCGGCCGCAGTGTCTCTACGAGCGGGTGCTGGCCGTGTTCCCCGTGACCCACTTCCTCTGGCTCCAGTACTGCTCGTTTCTGGAGAGCAGGCTCCTGCGTCAGCAGGACGTCAACCGGCTCATCACCAGTGCCTACGCTCGCGCCACCCGAAACTGCCCCTGGGTCGGCCAGTTGTGGGAGCGGCGCATCCGGGCCCTGCACCGGGCGGGGGCAGCAGAGGGCGAGCTTGCTGCGGTGTACGGCGAGGCCCTGGCGGCTCATGTTCCGGTGTGCTACTTGGGACCGCGGGAGGGTTGGGAGGGGGTTATGGGTCACAGGAATTGGGATGGAGATCGTACTGTGTCCTCTGATTGAGGTTTTGGCCTTGAGATGTGAGCACTTCTGTGATGTCATTGGGTGGGCATCGTTCATCAGAATCGCGTAATCATGCCAACCACGTCTAATGTCCTCGTTGGTGCAGGTGCGGGAGGACGTCGTGCGGGTGGTGCTGGCCTACGCCCACTATTTCAAGTGCAAGAAGGAGCTCAGCCAGCTCCAGTCGCTGCTCACCGAGGCCGAGAAGCACCTGGAGACGAGATTTCAGGGCGAGCTGGACCACAGCTTAGCGTAGGCTGCAGCTGGTCTGGGGGGGAGGGTGAGAGGAGGAAAACAATTGCCGATCCTCTGCCGGCAGGCAACTTGACTCCAGAAACGTTCACGCCCTGGCCTGAGCTTGGCAAACTGAAAGCAGTGCGCTATGTGTTTCTCATCACGGGGGGTCCTGACGCCAGCGTTGGCTTCTCAGGGGTCCTCTTGCGAGCCCTGCATGACTATGCTCGGCTGTCTCACCCCATACCTACTGTGGAACCCAAGTCTCACCACGCCTCTCTCTCCCGATGGCCACACACAGCCTGCCGACATTCTGGGCCGAGGCCGAGGCACAGCTGAGCGAGCCGGCGGCGGCAGGGGAGGAGCACTCCGGCGCAACACCGGGGTGGCAGGTGTGGGAGGCAGTGCTGCGATCGCCACTGGGGTGGCGGCGCCGGGCCTGGGCCGCCGCAATCTCCTTCGAGCTGCGACATGGCGGGCCGGAGAAAGCCCGCAAGCTGTACCAGCGGTGCCACAGGCGTAAGCTCGAGGACGGGGGCCAGGCCAGGCTCCTCCAGGACTGGCTGGTCTTCGAGGGCCTTTTTGGCGAGTGAGCCGGGGTGACGCGGTGGTGTGGGCTGCTGGGTTTTGCATCGGATGCAGGAGTGCTGGGGCAGGCTGAATCCTGTCTGGTGCCTGCAGGGCATGCAGGGCATGACTTGAAGCGCCTCCGTGCTCACTCTGCCCTAGCCACGCTGATCGACCACCCTGGCTCTCACCACCATACAAGCAGTGCACAGTCATATGCGGAGGCGTGCACCCAGGCAGACCCAATCCTGTCGGAGCTCGCATCCGCTGCGGCAGCGCGCGCCCAAGCCGATGCCGAGGCTGCTCATGCGTCAGGGGCCGCAGCGCCAAGGTCGGCCAGGACTGCCAAGCCAGCCGCAGGCAAGGCGCCACCAATTCTGGATCCCGAGGAGCAGAAGGCGCGGCGCCAGGCCGCTGACCCCAATTTCAAGCCGCGGGAGAAGCGGGCCCCGAGTGAGGCTGCCGCCGGTGACGAGACAAAGCCGCCCCACCCCAAGCGGCCGCGCCAGGCAGAGCAGGGCAACGCGGAAGGGGGCATTGCCGTGGACGTGGCGTCCGCCAAAGAGGACATCCAGTCCGATTCGAGGACTGCTGGCAAGGAGGCACCGCTTGCCGAGAAGGCCACCGAGCCCGCGCCGACCTTCACCGCCTTTGTGAAGCACCTGGCACCAGTCGTGGGTCGGGAACAGCTAGAGGAACTCTTCTCCGGCTGCGGCGGGATCGCCGAGATCCGGTTCGGCATCAACCCCTCCACGAAAAAGAGCAAGGTGGTGTAGGGGGATGATGGCCAGCTGGCCACGTGGTACAGGACTCTGATGTGTGTCTCCTCTGGATCAGGTGCCGCAGCCCATGCACGCACCGAGAAGATTCCTCTGGCTTGGATGCCCAGTCACAAGATGTGTGGTCGTCCCACTCCACACTCCACCCAGGGGTTTGCATATGTCGAGTTCAAGACAGAAGCCGGCCTGAAGGCGGCCTGCGCCCTGGACAGGACCGACTTCCACGGCAAGCACATCTTCATCGCCCCCTCAAACAAGCCCAAGCCCAGCGCAGGACACGATGTTCCCGACAAGGCCCCCGCAGGTGATTGGGGTGACTTGAGAGGGTCGGTGCGCTATACAGGCCTTTGAGCCGTGAGGCTCTGGCAGGGTATCACATCTGATCCCCCTAGGCCCCATCGCAACACTTCCCATTGTTCGACTACATTTCAATTGTATGCCCATGGGGTGAAGTGCCAAGGACATTGCTGCTCGTTTTGGATCAGTATCCAGGAGGACCCATGCCCGCACTACATTTGCAGGAGGAGGAAGAGCAAACCAGGCGCCCGACCCCCTGGACGCCGAGGCGGCGCCCGTCGCTCCTGCCAGCACGACCATGAAGCCCCGCGCGGCCTTCATGCCTCGTGCGGCGCGGCTGGGCTCGCAGGCCAAGCCCGGGCCGCCCAAGAGCAACTCTGACTTCCGTGCCATGCTGCTAGAGCCCAAGACGTGAGGCGGTGGGTTGATGGCTGGCTCACCATGCTCTGAGCCGAGAGGCTTGAGCTGGTGACGCGAGGAGCAGCGCCCTGGGAAGCGCTGGTGGCTCAGCGCATCAGGCGCCGTGTCGAGCCGCAGCTCCGGCGCCTGTGAACCAGTCAGACCGCGCCCTCGCCCTGGGCCCGCGGGTGCCCTCGCGTCCCTCCCCCCGGCGCCCCTCACAGCAGCCAGAGGAAGCTGAGCGCGGCGCCCAGGACCAGTCCGACGTCCAGGGAGAGGACCATGATGCTGCCTGCCAGGCCGGCCTGGCTTGGGGCGACGTGAGCCGGGGCTGTGGCCATAGCACTGCTCGTCAGGACGCCGTTTGTGAAACCCAGGCCCAGCGTGCACAGCGCCAGCCCGGCCGGTGCAGACACTGCGGAGTTGGGTGGGGCCAACGGTGGGAGCGGATGTGAGAGCGGGGACCAGGAGGCATCAGCCGGCTCCCTCGGGGGGAGAGCACACGACGCTGGGATGAGCATTCCTTGCCCTTCCGCTCGATGAGCTGCGCCTTCCATCCCCACAGCCCCGAGGGGTGCACTGTACCCCCTGCTTGATCCACTCTTCGAGGAACGCTGAGAAACAAGTCGATCCCCGGGCCAATGCCGCTCGCCTGCGAGGTGGAAGGCGGGAATGAAGAGGGCGCGCAGGCACACCGCCCCCAGGATGCCGCCCTGCCTGCTCCAGCGCAGCGCCGGCACGAGGGTGGGGCCGCCCTTCCCCGCCAGATCGCCCAGGTTGAACAGGGTCATCATGCTGACGACAAACCAGCCGCGCCCCGCGTCCCCGCTGGGAGCCCTGGCGTCCTCCACGAGGACCCCGGGGAAGATCGCCAGGGTCACCCTGCAAGATTGTGTGAAAACGGGTGGGTAGGTGCGGGTGCTGGAGGGGCGCGGGCCCTTCCCAAGCGGCGAGGGTGGTGTCGTATGTCGTCCCCGGAGGTAGTGCATCGCTGGTCATGCTCGCAGCCTCATGCGACCTACTCCCCCAACATGCGACCCTCCAATTTCCCCTCAGAAAGCCTCGCTGTCTCTCCAGAATTCGCACGTGTAAATGAGGCACGTGGCCAAGCTGAGCCGCCATATCGTGCGCAGCGTGGCTCTCACCTCCCCCACGCCGGCCTTCGCAGTACCCAGTGGCACGAGGTACGGCGAGCGCAGGACAGCCTCCGGGGCGGGGCCCCTCGGCAGCAAGCTCGCCTCGGCGTCCTCCTCGCTCGCGCCGTGGACGGAGGGGGACAGCTCGACCCGGGGCGGGGGTGACGCTGGGGTGGGGGTCCGCGCGCCGGGCGTGGTTTCCTCGACACCCTCCCGAGGACGCTGCGCGCGCGTGAGGTACAGGGCGAGGCAGCCCGCGACCCAGGCGGTGGCCACCCAGAAGAAAGCGGCGGCGCTGGCGGCCAGGCCGCGCGGCGTGGGTGGGAGCAGGGCCTTGGTGGCGACGCGCAGCGCGCAGGCCGCCAGCCCCGCCAGCGCGGTGCCCGTGACCAGCGCGTGCGTGAGCAGGGGCGGGCCCTGGGCGGCCTCGGCAAACAGCGCGGGCTGGGTCAGGCCGTCCGTCACGCCCACGCAGCACAGCAGGCCCAGCGTGGCCGCCAGGGTGAGGCCACTAGGAGGCAGCGCGCCCAGCAGGGGCACCAGGGCCAGGCCGAGGGCGGAGCCGGCCAGGCCTATCCGGATGCGGGTGCGGGTGGAGAGCAGGGTGTTCCAGTACGTCAGGCCCGCCACCACGCTCAGGTTGACGGGGAGATAGAAGACTGTGAACAGGCGGTTGGCGTGCTGGCCCTGTGCATGACGTGTGCGTGTGTGTTTCGGAGGGAAACGTGAGTGATGTGGGAGCGGTGGTGCATGCTGGGTGTGCAGGGCCTGCGACTCCCCTGTGAATAACGCAGCCATCCTCCACCAGAGCTGCTCCCTCGTGCACGAAGAATCCAGATCGAGCGCAACCCCGCCACACAAACCACTTGCCGGGAATCGGGACTCAAAGTAGTCTGCCCCCAGGATGAAGCTGTTCCAGGCGGCCAGGGTGCCGGAACCCAGGCCTGTGTAGGTCAGGAAAGTGCCCCACGTGTCTGGACCGGTGGCTGTCTTCATCGAGGAGGAATACGGACCAACTCCTGGTCGGCATGTGTGGCGGGGCCGGGCTTCAAGCAGCGCGGGGCTCGTGGTCCTGTGCTGGAGCAAGTGATCTTGAGCTGTGCGCGAGGGGAGGATTTCCCCAAAGCTCCTCGATGGGACACGAAGGAGTGCTTGATCAACTTTGATTCATCCAAAGGTGTCCCCGACGTTGATAGACCGATGCTGCAGCGCATGCCTCTGGGACTCCGCGAACAGGTCGTGTACATGACGAGGCTCTGAACCCTTGACGGAGATAATCTGAGGATGTGGGATGCCAGAAAACCAGCACAAGCACCCTCCTGGAGCACCTTGCCTCCAGATGATGTATATGGACACATCACGGATACTCGAGCTTCATTTCTCAACACAGCTTGTGAGGTCTCATTGCGCTCATAATAACACATACGTGGTTCCCTGCTGATCTGGTGCTCCTGACACTTCCCAACGGTCTCGAGAAGAGGTGGTATTGAAACCACCGAGGCGCAACTCGAGATCTGCGCCATTGCATCCACACCACTGATTGTTAAAGCGAGGGCAGCAATTCGAATACAGACAAGGAATCAGTCAAGATACATGCAGGGTCAGGTGGGCTGGTACCCCTACGCACAAGCGTCGGCTATGAAACAGGAATACTGTGCAGCAGCAAATGCACAACGAGTACTTTCTTGCGATAGTCAGGAAGGCAAGACTTCGAAATCTAAAAGGGGGATGCACAACCTCCGTCACTCCAGGAGCCACAGGAAGCTGAGGCCCGCCCCAATGTTCAGCCCCACGATCAGGGCCAGCACCATGACACTCCCCGCCATGTCTGAAAGGATGGGGTGGACGTGGGAGGGCCCCGCCGCCATTGCGTGCGAGGTGAACAGGCCGTTTGAGAATCCCAGCAGGAATGTGAGGACCGCCATGACGGGTACGACTTGTACTGCGGCAGGTCAGGTGGATGGGTTCAGGTCGAGTGACTCGTTGCTGGAGATGCATGTGTGCTCTGCAGATTCCAGATGGAGGAAGAACTGGCTCCCTTGCCCGCCCACCCGTCCCCCTTCCTGCACGCCCAGCTCACCACCGAAGAAGATGATGGCGGGAAGGAAGAGCAGCCGGATGCTGGAGCTGATGAGGATGATGTTCTGGCCGGTCCAGACCAGGGCGGCAAAGGTGGCAGGCAGGATCCTGCCCAGCATGTCCCCCACATTGTAGATGGTGACGAGGATGATGGGGTACCAGCCCCCCAGGCGTGAGCTGTGGGCGTCCTCCACGAGCACCCCAGGGAAGATGGAGAGTGTGACGCTGTGGAAAGGGGGAGTGCCTGGAATTGTTGGTAGGCGTGCCCAGGGAGTGTAGGGGGGGCTGGGGGTCCTCCACCACGGATGCCCAGTGCGCAGGGGCCGAGGATGACCAAGCCCTGCGGGCGCCTGCATGCCGGCCTTCATGGGAATGGGGTCGCTGGCCCTGCCCTGGCAATAGACCCAAGGCTCTGAATCTTGGTGGGGCCCACAGACTGACGAGGCCCCCATCTTGGACACCCCCTCTCCCCCTCGGCACTCCCAGCTTTGCCCGACGCACATGTAAATGAGGATCAGCGCGACGCAGAGGCGCCAGGTGTCGCAGATGACCTGCAGCACGGCCGCCCGGCCCTGCAGCGCCTCCCCCGGCGCGACGGCCAGGGCGGCGTGGTCCTCCTTCCCAGGCTTTGGCCCCTCCTGCCCCTCCTTCTCCACGGGCTCGGCGTCGGGGTCCTGCTCGCCCTCCCCCGCCTCCAGGCGCGCACCGGGGCCCGCCTCCACCAGCAGCCCGCGGCGGCGCAGGAGCGGGTACAGCACCGTGCAGGCCCCCGTGCACAGCGCGGCCAGGGCCAGGAAGATGCGGGCGCCGTTGGCCAGGCCGTCGGCCTCGCTGTCGAAGGCGGCCATGGTGATGATGCGCAGGATGTTGTTCACCACGCCCGCCAGGGACGCGCCCAGGACCAGGACGCGCGTGTACTGGGGCGGGCGCAGCGCCGCCTCGGCATACATGGCGGGGTGGGACACAGCATCTAAGATGCTGCACACCCCCGTGGCTGCCAGGGTGCCGGCCAGCGACGCGTCGTTGCCAGGGGCCAGAGTGACCAGCAGGATGGTGGCCAGGCAGAGCGTGGCGCCGCCATAGCCGACGATGATGCGGGTGTGGGTGGGCATGGAGGAGTGCCACCGGGTGGTGATCAGGATGGTGACCGGGTTCACCGGCAGGTACACGATGGTGAAGAGGTTGATCGAGTTCTTACCCTGTGCTTGTGATTGGGGAGAGAAGGGTGATCCTGGGTGTATCAGTATGCACAACTTGGGGTTGAGCTGTCATGGCCGGCCCTGGTGGTTCCGGAGGTGCCAGGCCGATCCCCCTTCCGCAGGGGCTTTTCGGTGAGGGGCACCTAGAGCAGCGGCGGTGGCAGAGTCGCCGCCGACAGACCTTCATCGAAACCCCAGCAGTCCCGTCAGTGCTCGAATCGTTCAACTCATAGGGTATCGGGTGATCCAGTAGTTCGCGATGGAGAAGATGGCGTTCCAGGAGACCAGGAAGCCGGAGCCGAACATGAGGTATGCCGCAAACATGCCCCACGACAGGTGCCGCCGCACCTCCGTCACGGGGGGACCCATCTGGCTTGAGCTGAGCTCCTGTAAAAAGAGGAAACCCTCGGCTCAGAATTCCGCGTCGATGCGACGTATCGGTGCCGGGGGAGGCCCAGGTGCCTAGCTTGCACAGGCACAACAACGTCTCTGCGAGTTCGTGACCTCTGTACAGCTTTGTCTCGACTAGCTTGAAGTACACTCGTTTTCTGACAAGTCGTTTCGAAGGCAGACGCACTATATCGAGTGCATGCCCCACCCAGCAATACTTCGGGATGTGTTCTCTGCAGCTGGCGCATCCGGGGCATCTCCGGACGCAGTTGCGCGTCATGCACAGCACTCACTTCCCCGGGTCGACTTCTCTGGTCTCGCTGACCGCATGGCACCAGCTGCCTTGACAACTCCTCAATGCATCGTGGCCACCTCCGGCTCGGCCACGATTGTCCGCCGCTGATTGTCGTCATTCCGTCGAATTTAGATACGAGGCCCAGAGTGTGAGGAACCTCCTGCCCCTGGCTCAGTGTGGATACAGGCACCCTCTGCTCCATTGCAAAGCCTGCCCTCGCCATGTCCATAGGCCGGTAGCTCCATGGCCAGTTCAAAGCCAGGGCTAGATTCTTCCAAAGCGTCGAGGTCAGAGAGCCCTGTACACCGCCTCAGCCCACCTACATTCCTGATACCAATTTGGCCTACAAATCAGGGGTGTGGCCCAAACGCGGCACCACAGCCAGCCAGGGGAAGTACGAGGTAGCGACTGCAAACGTCCAAGGGATGCCAGCCTCACGCCCGTCAGTAGCCGATGCAGTCCTCCACCAGGGCATCAAGCCCTGGCAGGCTCACCGGCGGCCATGCGGGCCCTTGTTGCGGCAGGGGCTCTGGCCGGGAGGGCTGGCCCGACGTGTGGCCGGACCGGGGCCGCAGCAGGGACGGCGCCAGGGAGAAGGCTCCGCCGCCCCGCAGCCGCGGCGTGATGCACGGCCAGGCAGCAAGGGCCACGCCCTCCTCGGCCGCCGCGCCCTGCGGCTCCGAGGAGGGCGCCAGGCGCCCTAGGGTCCCCCCGGGGAGCGCCGTGGGCTGCCACGGCCCCCCCCACCGCTGCGCGGGGCCGAGGCCGTCCCGCGACACGGCCGAGAAGAGGCTGGTAAAGAAGGTGTTGCCGTCGCCGGTGGGGAGGCCCATCTTGCTGACCTCTGAGCCCCAGAAGTCGTTGGTGGCGATGGGGTCGGGCAGGCGCAGGGTGTGCAGGGGATTGGTCGAGTCTGCGAGGGAGGGGGCGGCTGCCATGGTCAGAGGCGCGGTGGGGTGCCATGGGCATGCACAAGGTGATTGCCCTTTGGTTATGCCCGGGCCCAACGCATCGTCGCCAGCGTATGCCTTCGCTCCACAGGCCTCGGGCATCTCCTGCGAACCCACACAAGCCAGCCAAAACCCCCTGCCATCCGGTCCCCCCACTCCATAAACCTGGGGCGCGGGGCGAGCCCGCCGGGTACTGCCCCCCGCTGGCCGCCAACAGACCGTGCGGGGCCGGGCATTCGGCGCCAGGGTGCGGGAAGAGCGGCGGCGAGCACGGCTCGGCCGGGGCGGCGTTGATGTGCTCGGCCAAGTGCGCGCCCAGCCGCGCCTGCAGCCCCTCGTCCCGCAGCAGGTCGGACAGGCTGAGGCTCTCCGGCCCCACCCCGAGCTCCGCCAGCGCGCGCCCCGCCACCTCGGCGGCCGGGCGCTGGCGTTTCCTGGGCGGCGCCGCGCCCCGTCGACGCCGCACCGCCCTTGCGCCGCCCACCTGCTCCTCGCGCGGCTCTGGGGGCGCGGCGTCCGTGTCCCTGACGGTCCCTGATCGGGGTGCGGGTCCCACAGAAGCCGGCGGGGGCCCCGCAGCATGGGTCGGTCCCAGGCCGGCGTGCCGATCCAGGGTGCCCTGCAGCGAGCGGGCAAGGGAGTTGCTGGCAAGGAAGCGGGCGCGGAAGCTCTCCCTTTCCTTTAGTTGAACGTAGTCGGCGAGGATCTCCTGCAGGGACTTGATCCCGGGTGGGATACCTCGGAAACTGAGGCCATGCTGCTCCTTGAGCTCCCTGAGCGGGATGGGGAAGGGAGGGGCCGATGCATGGCGTGGAAAGCAGGCAATAGGAACAGGACCAAGGAACGCACACGCGATACCTTTCCCCCCAATGCTTCCGCAAAAACGGACCTGCGGAAAACCTGTGCTGTCCGGTCATACCCACAGGACTGCAGGTGGCTCACCAGCAGGGTGGCCACCTCCTCTTCTGTGACGAGGGAATCCATGGTAATGTATGGGATCAGGCACGGCTGCACGGGTGTCAGCCCGCAGCGCCGCTATCAGTCATGGAGCAGGCGGACTTCCGGGGGATCAGTCCCTGGGCGCGAGGGTGCAGGGACCAGGCTGGTTCAGATCCTCCAGGGACAGGCCAAGGAATTTTAGGAACCAAGCGTCGTCTCAAAAAATTATGTACAAGGCACAGAATGCCGAGAGCGCGCATGCCGACTGCTGTCACTCCCTCGCGCGTCGCGGGCTGCAAAAGTCAAATTCATATCGGACATTCGGCTCTGACCCAACCCTGAGGGAGTCGTCGCGTATGTCCCAAGGATCAGCCTGTGGTCACATTTCTCGCCCTTCACCCCAACCATACATTGGAGGATGTCGGCCTTATGAAGGCATTGGAGCATTGACCAGCATTGCCTCCCACCTCGTGGCGGAGTTCTGACTTACACATGACATGGCGAACTCTGTGCAGTTTCCAAGCACCCCCGAGCATGACTCGTTCCTTGCCTTCATAGCGCGACATGGATCTGGTAGCCCTCATCTGTCCGTTCCCCAGTGCAAAGGAGGGCCGGACAGGGTCTGGTCTCCCTCCCTGCCAGAACTGGAGGCTTGCCTGGTGGGTGGCGGACGATGCTGGTAGTGCTCGACGTGCCGCAGTCCAGGATGTGACCCTAAGACGGCATGGCCGGCACCAGCCCTTCATGGTATCCTGAACTCGCCCCCCCTATCTCGCAGAGTGGGGAGGGGCGGCCCCTGATCATCGCAGATGCCCTGCAGGCCTGCCCCGCCCTGCGGGAGTGGACCTGGGACTACTTTGCGACTCGCCACGTCTCGGCCCCCGTCCTGGTCAACAACCGCGCTCCCGCCCGCCACGCAGACGCGCGGCCGGGGGGCGGCGGCGCGCAGCGCACGCTGGCGCTGACCTTGGGCGCCTACATCGAGGGACACGTCCACGGCGCCCCGGCCGCCGCAGGCGCGCCCTTCTACCTCAACGGCTGGCGCGCCTTCTCCGAGGCCGGCGAGGCCTGGCCGGACCCGGCCTGGGCGCGCGGCATCGACCAGACCGCCGAGCTCATGGCGGCCCTGGATGCCACGCTGTTCAGCGGCCGCGCGGCGCCGGCCGCCAGAGGGATGCCCGCCAATGCCGCAGCGACCTCAGCACCCCCCGCCGTCACTGGCACCTCACCCCCGGCCTGGGTCGCCGCGCTGGACGCCGCGCTTTCCAAGCTCTTCCTGGGGCCGGCGGGCACCGTGACGCGGCTACACTACGACGCCGGTGGCGCGCACGGCTGGCTGGCGCAGGCCCGTGGGCGCAAGCTGTTCGTGCTGCTGCCGCCCTCGGCGGCGGCCGCGCTGCACATGCTGGCGGGCGAGCCCGAGACGGCGCAGAGCCCCGTGGACCCGCTGGCGCCAGACGCGGCACGCTTTCCTCTCTACTCGCGCGCCGAGCCGCTGGCCTGCACGCTGACGGCGGGGGGGCGGCGGCCACCTCGTCCCCGCCGGCTGGTGGCACTACGCGGTCGCGCTGGAGCCCAGCGTGACGCTGCAGCGCAACTTTTACCACGCCGGCAGCAACGTCAAGGCGCTGGTGGGCATGGTGCTGAAGACCGCCGCGGGGCTCAAGGGCAAGGCCTCCCAATGAATGCGTTGTGGTGCTTGGCAGGAGGGGTAGTCGGAGGTGTGGGAGGAAAGGGGCGACAGTGCTGCGATGGGGGAATGGGCCTTTCTTGACATACCCCCCTGGCGGCGCCGACTGCCAGCCATGGCGCATGGAGCGCCCCTGTCGACTCGGCACCCTTCAACCTGCTGCCTTCTGCACACCCTGCTGAGCTGTAATAGGAAAGTACCGATGCAGTGGTGCAAGTGATGCATTGGCGCAGGGGTGCCATGCCCAGCATGAGCATCCTCGACGAGCCATGCGTCCGTCCGAACATGCCCACTCAGGAAGAGCGCCTGGTTAGGGAGCCGCCCCTCGACCCTCCCCCTGCCCTTCCCTCTCTCAGGTCTGCAAACAGGCCGCAATCTCTGCAACGTTACATTCAGCCGCCGGGCCCCAAACGCCATCAGCGCCCCTCCCCACCGGCGTCCACCGAGACACTGCTGGCGTTGAGCACGCCCTTGCCCAGGTACTCGGTCACGACCGCAAACCCGTCCGGCGCGGCGCGCAGCTGCTTGAAGAAGGCGTCCTTGTCGGCCGCCCAGGCACGGTTGCTGTCCACCAGCGCCGCCGTGCGCGCATGCTCCGGGGCGCAGAGGGGGCACCCCGGCTCGTCCCCGGCGCCGCCCCCCCCGCCGTCGTCGCCCAGCGTGCGCGCGTTGAACGAGTGGCCGCACATGAAGTGGACGGAGGGCAGCTCCAGCGCCGCGCCCGTCGCCGCGTCGCGGTTGCTCTGGAACACCACCGGCTCGCTGCGGAGGCGCTCCAGGGCCAGCCGCGCGCGCTCGACCTCCTCCTCCAGCCGCTCCGCCTCCTCCACGTCCGCCGCCATGGCCCTGCGTGGGGCGGGGGCGACGGGAGGTTGGGTGGGTGCGACAGGGGTCGCATGTGTGTGGTGGCACGAGGTGAAGCAGCCTCGAGTGCGGGGAGCAGAGGGGGGGACGGGCACGGCTGCAACCCCGCGCGGCCTGTTCCTGTCGCGCCGAGCATGGGGAAGGGCACGTGCTTCAGCCTCGCCATGCCCTTTGCCACCCCACGCCACTGAACGTGCAGTTCTCATCGCCAAGCTCCGTTCCGCAAGCGCAAGCGGCTTGGACCTCCAAGCCCTCTGCTACTCTTCCCTCACGCTTGCAACTCCTCCAGCCCCCAGCCTCCCTCCCACCCCCCTCCCAAGAATGGCCCCACACCTCCTCAGTGCACCTGTTGTCTGCCTCCAGCTGGCGGGACACGTAACCTTTCACCAGGTCCAGCCGGAGCGCCGGGTTCTGCGCCAGGATGTGCAGCACCTGGAGCGGGGGCAGCAGCGCCCGCGCCTCGACATGCTGCAGTACGCCGCGCACGCGCGCCGCGCTTTCCTCCCCGTCCGGCAGGCGCGCAAAGTGCTCCAGCGCGTCCCGCCACAGCGTGGCGTCACCCCCCTGCCGCGCGTCGCCTCGGCGCTCGCACAGCGCCAGCAGCCCGGCGGCGTCGCCCGCGGCGCGCAGCACGCCGGCCGCCTCGCGGTACAGGCCCGACGCCTCGTACAGGAACACCAGGCCGGGCGCGAATCCACGCCCGCGGCAGCTCACCAGCGCCTGGTCGACGTCGTAGGCAGGGGGGCCGCCCGGGGGCCAGCCCCTCCTGTTCAGGGGCGACATGAAGGGGGGTGGTGGACGGGAATCGGAGGGGGGTGCACCTGAATGCAGACCGACAGATGGAGCTGGTCCATGATGAAGTCCGGAAGACACAAGAAAGTCAGGGGTTCCCCAGGAGATCTTTGCCGGTGGGCGCGATGCAGACCAGGGCGGCATGCCCCGAGCCCTGACCTCACCGGCTGAGATGCGCCCACCCACCCACCCCTCCTCCTCCCTCGCTCCTCCCAACGGGGCCCCCCCCCCCCCCCCCGCCCACTC